AAGCGAAGTCTTACCAGTGTCAAGCTTTTGTTGAATAATTCTCGGGTACCCGACAGGAGGCCCGTCGCGCGGCAAGAAGGCAGAGTCAGCGGAGTCGCAGCGCGTACTGTAGTGATTTCGCGTCAAGTTAAATAGAATGTCCCATTGCACGTCCTACATCGCACATCACGCGCTGCGACTCGTCCGCGACTCTGCCTTCTTGCCGCGCGACGGGCCTCCTGGGGGGTACCCTTTCACTGTCACGTGCTATCCTAATCTCCAAGTCGCGAAGTATGAACGCCACCAAGTGATACACAAAATTTGCTACCGAAAAGCTCTTTCAGCAAGAACACTCGCTAGAACATTTTCACTGGAAAGACTGGCCCGATCGAGGTGTGCCTGCTTCAACGACGTTATCGATCTTCCGACTTCTTCGCAAGGTTCTCGTTTAGCTTTTCAGCCTCAAAAGCTCCCACATAATAGAAAACGGACGAGTAACACGACCTCTCCTTGGGTTACACCACGCATTACGGGATCTCCAACACGATCGAGGCATCGGCTTAAGCGCTCCTATTCAATTGCGACTTTTGGAAGCGGCAATTTCGACTCGAAAATCAGCTTGCAAGTAAAACTGACGCGGTTGTTAAGAAAGAAACGCCACCCTTTGATGCTCTCACGACCGATCGTTTTCGCTTTGCTTTGCAATTTCGACACGCTCAAAATCGTTCCCGCTCATGTTCATTCTGGGGATATGTCTACTTTCACATAGGAAGTGTTAGCGCTGAACAAAGGAATCCGTCTCTATAAGATTACGTGTTCCTCCGACCACCCCCATAGTTGCCAACATTGACTGCAGCTGGAAGAGATCAAACGATTGTTGCTAATAAAAAGAGGGCGCTATCGCAACTCACGGGGCATCCTCTAGCAAAAAACCTAGGAGAGGTTAGGAACTTCAGGGAAAATGAAAATTGCTCACGCAGCCTGAAGTCTACCCTCGTCTACCTAAAATTTAGTCCTGTTTCACCGAAAAAGGAGATGTTTTACATGGCTTCCATGCATTGCTACCATGCCCCCGTATCTTGCGACAGTGCCAAAAAAGTAATGATAAATGTACCGATTAAGGTGAATCGCCTCACGCCATGTGTTGTGCATTGCTCAGCAGGCATTGGACGCACCGGTACAGTAGTCGGAATTGATTTGCTTTATCGACGACTAGAAAAGGGTGAAAAAGACGTGAGCCTAACTTTGACACGGCAACTGTCCACATGAATGCCATCGAACTCGCTTTTAGGCAACTCTACTCAAAGTGGTCGGCGAACTTCGAGAAATGCGACATGGAGCTGTTCAAATGGATGCACAATACCTCTACATGCATCGGATTTTACTAGTGGTCGCGGAGAACTTGAAGGTCAGTTAGCTTTCCAAATTCAAAAATCGTCACGATAAAAAAAATCAAATCCGCTGAATAGACGGGGCTCAAAGCAAGGGACCACGGTAATGTGTCCTCCATTGGACTATACTGCACCAGCGCAAGCAGTAGCAAAGTACGAGCGAGGACGAGATACGGCCTTTTCACGGTCAGAGCTAGGCTAGCTGCAGCACACCAGGGTTTTGTCCACCACTTTGAGCCCATTTCCCAAAAATATTGAAAGGCTGCCTCTTTGTTTGGATCACTGAATAATAGAGACAACACATGTTTTTGTATGGAACAATAACAATTGTGGGCAAAAGAAGAGGAACGGATCATTGTTTCACAAGAATACTGTGGTATGAACAAAACTTCAGCTCCAGGCGGGTCTTGAACCCGTACCTCTCACTTACCGGGCAAGTTACAAGTTACACTACCGACAATGGTAAATATACCATGAAAAGCAAAGGCGCCCCGGTAGCGTAACCTATAGCGGCACTTGCCCAGTAAACGAGAGGTGCGGGATCGAGTTCGGCGTGGGGCGAAAGTTTTGTTCAATAACCCCGCATGTACGCCATTCGCAACGAGCTGCGGACGCAAAAAACAGCAGTTAGGAAACCAAATAGGTCAGAGTGTTCGTGATAATTTCAGTGCCCCCATAAAATTCCTCGGATATGCCTATGTGATTTTGTTCATATGCGGACTTTCCCCGCAATGCGCGCACGACGCCGCTTTCGCCGCCCCGCCGCCACATGGATCTGCTCGATCCCACCTCTCAAGCAAACACTGACTAGGACCCTAACCCCGCAGGACAGACCAGAAGCTTCCTTTGCACGGTGACTTGAACCTAATTCTAATGAATTTCTTAATTCAGATAATCACTCCAGAAGAGACGCAGAAATTCAACGACGATTATGATCAAATGCTTAAGAGTCGCGGTTTCACGTGACGAACGTCAATGTCCAGGGGACCGTCTCACTTACCAAAACGACAATGTATACAATTAAATTGCGCCGAATTATGCACTTTTACTCGTATTTGTAAGGACAGAGAGAAAAGATAGATTAAATCTATTTGAAACATTCTCAAACTAAACATAGCAACAAACTGTAGAACAAAGCCTGCCAGAGCAACCTCACAACTGAGAGACTGCAATCCGACTGAGCAAATAACGGTATAGTAAAGAATATCCTTCTATTTTATAAAGCGCTAACTTTGTGTGTCGGTTTGTGTATCTGTATGTGTGTGTGTATGTATGTATGTGTGTCCGTCCGCAAAATGAAGTGAGTGAGAAGGAAGCTCATGGGATAAACAAACGTTATAACATAATGTCGGGTAGCTTACAGGATTTGAGATATCAATGTTTTGTAGCAGGATAGTTGTGATAACACTCTTAGGGCTATATAAACACCTGCTTAGCACACTTCCGTTCATTCCACATGGTGCTGCAGTGGCAGCTGGAGGGCAGTGGAGAGAGGAAGGGAGGATGAGGAAGGGAAGCGAAAAATCTACCGTCATATCATGATTGTGTCCCTTCTACTGTTTGAAACACCATTGTGTTGCATACGCGTCACTTCCACGAGGTGTTGGTGTCACAGGAGGAAGGGACCATAGCGGAGGATAGAAAGCTTGCGCAGGAAAGGAAGGTCCCGGCGGTTGACGGGGGACTAATCTGGTAATTGAAAAAGAGGCTCAGCGTCCTTAGGGGACATTTGAATCAGGTCCGATGGTAGGTGACACTTGGGCAAAGTGAGAAAGAGGAGAGAAGAGCCGGGGTATACCAATTTTTGTGCTCGCTAGAACTCTCCTAGATCCCTTTCCCAAGGAGGCCTAAAACTCAGTGATTGGTTCCACTCAATGAATATCCTCCCCCCCTCCCCTCAAACGATGTGTATCGCCGTAGGATAAAATATCTAGGCCGGCTACCTATAGTGCAAAATATAAAAATAACAAAAATGTATCATTTCAGGAAAGCTAGTCCTTGCTCTGCGAAACACTATGATCGTATCCCCTAAGGTGAAACCCATTACAAGAATAGAGTTGAGCGCAAAATCACTGGTTATCAAAAATGTACCTGTACCGATTTCGCTGAATCCAGTTGTTAGGCGAAGGCGCAAGCCTAAGAATACTCGAAAGGCTACACCTAGCACATGGAGTCTCGCTCCGGAGTTGAGAACTATACTGTCTATTTTCGTTTGGGTTTTTCCGAATCTCTCTCTCCTCGACGCCCTCCCCCCCCTCCATCTCAGCTTTCTTCAAAGCTGCAATCCCAGAGTAAGAGGTTTACATAGCATAATTAATTAAGCTCTACCTCGCTAATTTCGATCCGCTTTCCCTTACCCAACGTAAGAAAGTGCTGGTGGACGCCTCAAATTGGCATATTGCCGATTTTTGGATCCAAGAACATTTAACATGCTCTATTTGGGCCTAAATGTACCCACTTTTCCCGTGTTCTTGGTCTTCTCAGAATCAAATGAGGTATTGAATTCCGCTCACTCAACAACATGTTTCGCTCGTTATAAGCAGGCCTCCGCTCCGTCCACCAAAGGTGGTCTCTTTAATTTTAAATCTACTTAGCAGGCACCGCCCTTTTGGGGAACGCTCCGCCCACCAAAGGTGGTCTCCCTCATTTATTTTGCAACTCGGTGCATCAGCGTCTACTAAAGCACAACATAATTGTGAATATACAGGGGTGGCCAAAAAAAGAGACACTTTGCCCATGGCGCACTTCATCGAACTTTTCGTCGCACAGAGTGCCGATGTTAGTGAAAGTTTCTACGGCGTAATACTCCATAGGTGTTCCCCGTAAGCAGAAGCAAGCCCTCCTTCACTGTCCCCGCCGTCTCCAGAATATGACGTCATCTGCCGCCACCGTCGAGCTCAACGAGGCTTACCGTAATCGCTCCGGCCTGAAGCTACTTCACGATTTCTTCAATGGATTGACGATTAAATAGCTTCCTCGAGACATTAGCTGTGACTATGCAAAACCACTTTTGACCATCGTTTCAGGGACGTCGTAATGGTCTATGGTACCTCGACGACCCCGTTGAGCTCGTATCGCGAACTATATTTCCGTGGGAAAATCTTCTGATGTCGTCGGTGTAGAAGGCTGTCGTATAAGGTTTAGATAGATTAGAAGGTGCTCTTCAATACTAGTTGGGGGCAGTCGATTTGATTCTAGCAAAGTGTGATTAATGCTGTCTGAAATGTGGAGTCAAGTGTCTCTTTTTTTTGGCCACCCCTGTAATACGAAGCCAAGTTGAATTTTCAGCAGTAAGGCTTGACAGGAGCTCTGAAGAGCCAAAACAAACCTGTTAAGTTTAAATGAGACTGTTTACATGCAGAAAAGCCTGGGTCAAGGGCGATCACTGTCTCGGCTATCACTCCTTCACGCCAGAACAGGTGACGAAGATTGTGAGCAAAACAGGAAATGGCTGCTTCTTCAGCACGAGACAACAGCTGACGCCTGAAATAAGAGCAATGAGCAGCCCAGCTAATTACAGACAGCTGAACATTCCAGCTGATTACGAACGGGTGTGTAGAAAAGTAATCATAAATTGTAGTAAAATA